TTCTTTTTATATTTTAGGAAAGGGTCTACAGAGTGTTCAGGGTCTCACTAGATCACTAGGTCAGACTCATAGTGATCTGCCTGTTTACAGCCTCCCAAGAACTGAGATTCCAGGTGTGCACCACCGTGCCCAGTCTATCTCAGTGTACCCTGGTGGTGGGGCAGATCCGGGGATCAAACCCTGGCCCTTGTGCCTGCTTGCAGGCACTTTAATCCCCGTATATAATCTTCTCAAGATAGTACGAAGAGGGGCCGGGGAGATGGCTCAGTGGAATAAGCGCTTCCCTAGCAAGCACAAGGGCCTGAGTTCAATCCCCGGTTCCGCAAAAAAAAAAAAAAAAAAAGATAGTAAAAAGAATTTGATATGCTAGTGTATGCTTGTAATCCCAGCACTCAGAAGACTGCTACAGGAAGATCTTGAGTTCCAGACCAGTCTGGGCCAGACAAGTGAAACTGTCTCAAAAAAAAGAAAGCAAAGAAAAAAGAAAAGGAAAAAAAGAAAAGAGAAAGAATAGGGCTGGGTTATATCTTAATGGTTAAGGATGTGCCTACTGGGCCGGGGAGATGGCTCAGTGGAATAAGTGCTTTTCCCTGGCAAGCACAAGGGCCTGAGTTCAATCCCTGGTTCCGCAAAAAAAAAAAAAAAAAAAAAGGATGTGCCTACCATGCTTGATATCCTACAGCAGTAGTGGCCAACCTATGATAAACGTGCTACAACAGGCTGTTTGTATCACTGAAAACTCTAAAAGGCCCACCATTACTGTCTTAGATGAATCATGGGTACCATAATTATTAGGTAATAAAATTAACTAAAACAGAAAAAGGAGAATGAGCTGAACAGATTGGTACACACCTATAATCCCAGCACTCAAGACTGAGGCAGGAGGATCACTGCAAATTTAAGGCCAGCCTTTGCTGAAGAGTAAGTTCAAGGCCATCCTGAACTACACAGTGAAACCATGTCTCAATAAAAAAAAAGAAAAATGATTAATGTCATAGAGTTATCAAATAGCCAGGATGGGATCCAAACACAGGTAATTTGATTCTAGAGCTCATGCTATGGTGATCGGCAGCACTGCCTCACCAGCTAGGAAATCCGTTTCCATCAACAAAAGATTAGTATTACTTAAAAGACTTTATAATATGCAAAAACCGTATTCTGACAAAAGATCACCAAACAAAACTCTCTATTAACAAGCATTTCCATCTTACGTAAAAGGTTTAACATGGGATATTCTACTAGGTTAAATGATGCTTAAGGTTAAAACAGCAAATCAGCTGCCACGTGGCACAACAATGATCCCAGCTACTCGGACTGAGGCACGAGGACTGCAAGTTTGAGTCTAGCCTGGACAGTGTAACCACTTAATGAGAACCTGTCTCACGATAAAAAATAAAAAGGGGCCGGGGAGATGGCTCCCTAGAATAAGCACCTGCCTGGCAAGCACAAGGGCCTGAGTTCAATACCCAGTTCTGCCAAAAATAAAATAAAATAATATAAAATAAAATAAAAAAATAAAAAGGGCTGGGGATATGTAGAATTCAGTGATAAGCCTTGGGTACAATTCCTAGTACCACACATACAAACAAAAAATGAACAAGTAATAGCAGTAACAGTGAAACAACAGCGAATCACCAAAAATTAGCATCAGTGGTTTTGTTTTGTGCTGTTTAAGACACAAAGGGTCTCCCTACATAGTGCAGGCTGGGACCTTGAACTTGCCTATGTATCCCTGGCTGGCTTGAACTCAGGGATCCTCCTGCCTCAAAGTGCTGAGATTACAGGTGTGCACCATCACACCTGGCCAAGTGTTCAAGTTTACGTCTACATGCTCCTACATGGGGTTTTTGAAGGAGACTGGATTATTCTGATGTCTAGATGGCTTGCTGTTAGGTAGGATATGGTCAGAAGAGGAAGAAGTTCAGTGTGGCAATGTCATGGAAGCCGATTTCCCTTCCTGGCCCCTCCTTGTTCTCTGCCTTGCTTCCCTACTGCTACCCAGAGCAACTTCTCTGCCATGCTGCACTGCCTTGGATCCAGCCACCCATGGACTCAATCCTTACAAAGCATGAGCCAAAATCAACCTCTTCTTTGAGATGCGGGTGTTGGGTATTTTTGTTATATCAAGATTCTAGAAGTAACTAAGACAGGACTATAGGTTGTCAACTTCTTTTTTTTTTTTTTTTTTTTTAAACTGCTTTACAATATTCATATCATACCAGTGAGGTATTTGGTTTACTTATGACATTAGGGATTAAATATAACTTTGGAGATGGTTAAGCTGGCAAATTTTATATAAATATATATTTGCGGTACTAGAGATTGAACTCAGGATCTTGCACTTGCCAGGCAGGTGCTTATTTTACTGAGCTATCTCTCCCTGGCCCCATAAAGTATTTTTAAATGACTTAAAATATAGTTTCTTAGTTTTACTTTAACAGGATCCTTAAAATATCATCAATATGGAATATAGACAAACTGAGACCCTAAACAAATTGATTATAAAGTTCATCTGGAATAACAAAAAAAAAAAAAAAAAAGGCAAAAAGAAGTGATTCCTCTCAAATATTAAAACACAGACTCTAAAAAAAAGTTAAATGTACAAATAAACAAATCAATGGAATAAAAGGAAACATCCATAAATTAACCCATCTGGGTATGTTAATTTAAGATACATTCTAAAGTCAGTGGTCAAAAGATGGGTTGGCTTACTTATTTTTTTGAGAAGGGTGTTGCTATACAGTTTAGGCTGGCCTTGAGCTCATTTTTATAGCCTAAGCTGGTCTCAAACTTCCAACAATCCTCCTGCCTCAGCCTCTCAAGTGCTGGGATTGCAGGCATAAACCACTTCCATCAAGATGGTGTTTTTAAAACAGTGATGTTAGGACAACTGAATACCATATAGAAAAAGATAAAATTCAGTTCATCTCTCATGTCATATACTGGGAAAAATCTAGAGACTTCAATGTAAAAATAAAAAAAAATTTAAAAACATTTAAAATTTAAAAAACATATTTTAGAAGAAACATCTATGAAGTTCCATATAATATGGGACAAGAAATCTTTTCTAGGGGCCAGGGAGATGGCTCAGTAGGATAAGCACTTGCCTGGCAAGTGCAAGGGCCTAAGTTCAATCCCCAGTCCCAACAATAAAAAAATATATATATATATTTTCTAAGTATGACTCAAAACAGAAGCAATCAGGGAAAACTGGTAGTGTGACTACATAAAAAATCATAGACTAACATAAACACCATACATTAAAGACAAATAGGTGGGAAAAATATTTGTCTGATCTAGTAGTGGGACCCTGAACACCCTGTACACCGAAAGAAAGAAAGAAAGAAAGAAAGAAAGAAAGAAAGAAAGAAAGAAAGAAAGAAAATATTCCCTACACATAAAAGACTTGGAGGGGCAGGGGAAATGGCTCGGTAGAATAAACGCTTGCCTGGCAAGCACAAGGGCCTGAGTTCAAAACCCTGGTTCCACCAAAAAAAAAAAAAAAAAATTGGAGACTATAAGAACATTAAGAATCCTGGCATTTTTATACAGGCAAAAATATAGAGAGCCCTTAAATAAAAAGACACTAACCCTCATTCATAAGATACATACAATTAAAACTACAGCAAGATATTGTACTGTTTTTCTCACAAATGAGCAAGAACCCAATCTGACGACACGCCATAGCTGAAACTATAATATAGTAGACTGCAACACTGTCACTGTTGTTGGCTAAAAGCTTAATTACCTAGTATGAGTAATTTAAAAATATTTCCTTCTTCTTCCCACAGGTAGAGTTCATTTCATTGCTATGAAATGAACACACATGGGCTATAAAAATTTCCTCAGCTTGGGGCTACGCAGATGGAGTAAGTGCTTCCCTGGCAAGCGCAAGAGCCTGAGTTCAATCCCCGGTTCCGCAAAAAAAAAAAAAAAAAAAAAATTTCCTCAGCCTTTTCAAATTCCTTTTATCTCTATTACCTTTGTCACATTATGGTGGATTAAGTATTGTTCCCCAAAATGCATATACACCTAAAACTTCAGAATGTGACCTTATTTGAAAATCAGCGGGGGCTGGTGAGATGGCTCAGTGGTCTAAAGCACCTACTTAGAACAAGCTTAGCAAAGCACAGGGACCATGGTTCGATCCCCCAGCACCACATGCCAGCCAGCCCCACCCCCTGATGGGCTGAGCTGGACACACACACACACACACACATATGTAAATAAAACTTAAAAAAAATAAATAATAAATAAAATAAAATAAAATTTAAAAAAAAAAAAAAAGAAAATCAGCTATGTCAGGCATGGTGGCACATACTTAAAATCCTAGCACTCAAAGATGAGGCAGTTCTGGAGAATAACCATGAGTTTGAGACCAACCTCAGTTATAGTAAGTTTAAGGCAAGCCTGAGCCACATAGTAAGAGCCTGTCTCTAAACAAATAAAGACTGAGATGAGGGGTCGACAAGATAGCTCAGTGGTCTAACGCCTCTCAGGCAAGCTTAGGCAAGCACAGGGATCAAGATCCCCGTCGGGCTGGTGAGACGGCTCAGTGGTCTAAAGCACCTACTTAGAACAAGCTTAGCAAAGCACAGGGACTGCGGTTCAATCCCCCAGCACCACATGCCAGCCCGCCTCGCCCCCTGGTGGGCTGAGCTGGCCACACACACACACACACACACACACACACACACACACAAATAAATAAATAAAATTAAAAAAAAAAAAAAGATCCCTGGCACCACAGGCCCCATCAGCCCTGCCCCCAGGGCAGGCTGAGCAGGCCAAAAAAAAAAAAAAACTAAGATGAGATCATGCAGGATTAGGGTGAGTCCTAGATCCTATGAAAGTGTCTATAAGGACAGAAAAAGATCATCAAGAGCCATAGAGAAGGTGGCCATGTGCAGATCAAGGCAGAGATCTGAGTTATACAGGGACTAACTAAGGAATGCTAAAGATTTCAAGAGGTCACCAGAAGCTAGATAAGGTCAGGAAAAATTCTTCCCTACAGCTTTCAAGATCCATGGCCCTAGGGGCCGGGGAGATGGTTCCCTGGAATAAGCGCTTCCCTGGCAAGCACAAGGGCCTGAGTTCAATGCCCCCCACCCACCCATGGCCCTATCAACACCTTGATTTCCTCTTTCAAGCCCAATAAATCTAATACACATATAAATTTTATTTTGCCTAGAATAATGTGCTGTTTTCCAAACATTCCCACCTTCTTGCTTTTATCTATACTGAGTCTGAAATGCTTTTCTTTTACTGTACTCATATTCAAACAACTCGTCTTTTTGGGACAGGGTCTCACTATGCAGTTCTGGCTGGCCTTGAACTCCCAGGGATCCTTCATCCCTCAGCCTCCTGAGTGCTAGGATTATAGGCATGCACCACCACACCCAGTTCAAACAACTCATTTTAAAAGACTTACCTATCTTTTTTCTTTTGAGATAGGGTATCACTATGTAGTCCAGGATGACCTTGAATTTGTGGTGATCCTCCTGCCTCAACCTCCCAGTGCTGGGATTACAGGCAAGCACTACCACGCCCTGCTTGTAAGCCATCTTTTTTTTTTTTTTTTTTAATGCATTTAGTACAGGGTCTACAGTCTCACTGAACAGATTAGACTCATAGTGATCCTCCTGTTTTCAACTTCCCAAATGCTGAGATTATAAGCCGCGCCACAATGGTCCAGTCTCATTTGCTGTCTCAGCACGCCCCGGGGTGGGTCCAGCAATGCATGGGGATTGAACCTTGGTCCCCTAGAGCTGGCCTAAGCAGGAGCTTTAGTCTGTTGAGCTATCCGAGCGCATATAATGCCATCTTGATGAGGCCCTGCCTCTTTCTCTCCCTTATGTGAAAATAAGATTATCTACCTTCTAAATTCAAATCTTTTCTGCTGATCTATTTTATAGCAGACTTCAAGATTCTGCATTTTTTTAAGTAACATCCCTAACACAAAACCCCTAAGACAATGCATAGTAAATACTGTTAAATTAGTAATTATTTGTTGCTAAATTAATAAGAACTAAAAGCCCCCTTGCTTGCCTGGCAAGTGCAAGCTCCCGAGTTCAATCCCTGGTACCGCAAAAATAAATAAGTAAATAAATAAATAAATAAATAAATAAAATGCCCCTCAATATCTGCCAAGTTGGTAGTTTACAGAACCTCCAAAAACAGCTAACACTATCTTAATGTCCCTCCTTCAGTTTCTAGATCAAAAACAAAACAAAAAAGCTAACCTCAAAGTGACTTTCTATTAAACATAATACTGGGGCCGGGGAGATGGCTCAGTAGGATAAGCGCTTGACTGGCAAACGTAAGGATCTGAGTTCAATCCCCTGTTCCGCCAAAACATAAATAAATAAATAAACTTAATATTAAAAGAACTAAAATATGAAATCCCTTTAAAAGTTACAATTCTAGGATTGTGATAGTTATGATGTCCTACAATCATTATATTCCACCATTACAAAATGAACTCCTATTTTCTCTTACCCAGAAAGGAGTCAAGTGGGAATCAGACAAATCAATAAGCCTTCCTGTATTTGAGAAATGGTGTCAGGACTGAGACAATGGTTTGAGGGTAGGGGGTGCTGTTAAATACATTTCAGTGACAATCCAGATACCCTACACATGAGACAGGACACCACACTCAGTGGCCTATTTACACTTTGACTTCTGAAGAAATTTCTAACCACCTCGAACCTATTGCCCTAACAGAAGAATTGGACTCAGTGGTGATAAACAACTAAAACTCTACTTTTTTTTTTTTTGTCGGAACCGGGGATTGAACGCAGGTCTGTGCGCTTGCCAGGGAAGCACTTATTCCACTGAGCCATCTCCCCAGCCCCTAAAATTCTACTTTAAACACACATTAATATCATATACTTGAAAATGTACATATTAAATTTTAGATATTTTACATAATCATGATCAAGTGTAAGTGCAGGCATAAAATCTTGTATCCATACTTGGTTGTAAAGCAATCCCTAGCCAAAGTCTGGTTACACTTTTTTATGTTATTAAAATGAAATACAACCTCTGGAACTTGTACCAAAAGTCACATAACTTCACTATGTTCTTCTGACTTTCTCTACTTAATATTTATTAAGTTATGCTCTAAGAAAAGTGCTTTAAACTTGTTACTGTTCAGTATACTGACTCTTTTGCTTAGCAACTTTCTGCCACCTGGGAAAGCCATTAAATAAATTCTAAAATGACCAGAGCAAAGCTAGTCGCAGTTTTACAATCCCAGCATACAGGAGGCTGATGTAGGAGGATCTCCTGAGGTGTCCCTGGGCTGCACAGTGAGGGCTTTTTTGTTTGGTTGGGTTTTTTACTTATTTATTTGGGACAGGGTCTTGCTATGCAGCTCAGACTTCTAGTTGATCCTCCAGTCTGAGCCTCCCCAGTGCTGGGATTACCGCTGGGATTACAGGCGTGCACCACCACCCATCACGCCAGGTTTCTGCGCTAGCTTGGGGGTGGAGGATGTAATCCATCAAACCTGGCTCCTTGGGCTTGCCAAGCAGGTACAGAGAGGCGCTTAGACCACCAAGCTGTCTCCTTGGCCCTGGTACAGTGAGTTCAAGGTCCGCCTGACTACATAGCAAGATACTGTCTCAAAATAAATAACTGAATAAAATGACCTGAGCAAAAGTGTGATTTACATATTTTTGAAACGTAAAAGATTTTAAAGAGTTTTTGTACCACTTGTCTTTTTAGGGGGGAGGATAAAAGATTTTCAAAGTAAAAGTAAATCTAATTTTCTTTGTCTTGTATTTGAAGAGATTGCTAAAGAATAAACACATGCTAACATAGCTGTTACAATTAACAAAAAAATAAGGAATCCCCTCACTTCAGATTACTCACCAAATACCGCACGGGCCAAATTTCCAGTATAAATCAGCCTTCCATGTTCTGACTTGTCAGGCTGTGTATGTGAACATCGAATACATCCTTTCCACCAAGCAGGTATCTATTGAAACAACAGACATAACGAAGACATAGTAAATTGCATTTATAATCTTTTCTTTGGGGCCAGGGAGATGGCTCAGTGGAATAAGTGCTTCCCTGGCAAGCACAAGGGCCTGAGTTCAATCCCTGGTTCTGCAAAAAATAAATAAACAAAATCTTTTAAGGTTTTAGTTTTAAAATCCAATGAAGAGTAAAAGAAAAGTTGTCATATGAAGTGATATAAAGAATTTTCCTAAATAATCTAAAGAAATAAAACTAGCTAACAGAATGGCTTTTTGTGTGTGTGTGTAACCAGGGATTGAACTCAGGCCCTTGCCCTTTGCCAGGGAAGAGCTTATTCTACTGAACCATCTCCTCGGCCCCTTAGAATGGCTTTTAAGTTAGTTCTAGTCTTAAGAAAAAAATCTGAGGGGCTGGGGAGATGGCTCAGTAGGATAAGTGCTTGACTGGCAAACTGAAGGATGTGAGTTCAATCCCCGGTTCCACCAAAAAAAAAAAAAAAAAGAAAAGAAAAGAAAGAAAAAATCTCTGAGGATATAGTCCAGTGGTAGACAGCACTGACCTAGTGTATGTAGGGCTCAGAGTTGGACGCAGAGAACACCCTCCTTATAACGCATTAAATTTATGGGTAGAAACCTTGCATAGGAAACTCTTCTGTTGGCAACAGATTGTACCAGAAACAACTGCACTTCATTTATGACAGGTATGGAAGGCTGAGAAAGATGACAAGTCTGAATCCAGCCTGGGGAACTTACAGTCTTGGCGAAATCTTGTCTCAAAATTAAATAAATAAATAATAAAAATAAAGTACTGAGTCGGAGTTTGGTCAATTTGCATTCCTGGTCTCAGGTTTTCAGATCTAATGAGACACTGAACAAGTAAAACACAGTTCAGTGGATAATTCAGTAAGATCATTCTCCTTCAATTTTTCTTTTTTTAAGGGTAAAGTTTTTTAAAATTATTTGTGTGTGTGTGTGTGTGTGTGGCCAGCTCAGCCCACCAGGGGGTGGGGCTGGCTGGCATGTGGTGTAGGGGGATTGAACCCCGGTCCCTGTGCTTTGCTAAGCTTGTTCTAAGTAGGTATTTAGACCACTGAGCCATCTCACCAGCCCTCTCCTTCAATTTAAATGCATTGGCTTTGCAAAAAAATTTTTTTTAATAATTTAGGTAAAACACTGCACACTGCAATTACATTTGCAGTCCAGGCTTTACTTCTAACTAGTATTTGAGAAAGTCAATCTTTCCCTAAAGACTTTGTAAATACCTTGTATCCCATTTTTAACAAGGAAATTATATATGAAATCCTGTATCAAATGTCACAAAAACAAGAGTTCCACCAACACTGAAAATGAATTTCACAGAGCCCACACTTCAAGTTTTAAAAGGTATATTTAATTGTTTTAAGTTGAAAGTTAAGTAATTCTAATTTCCATTTTCGGCATTTTCTTGCATGTTTCAACCATGCTTGTCAATCTTGACATTTTATACTGTAGAATTTAGAGAAATTTTATTTAAATTAAAAAGAAACGTCCAGGGGCCGAGGAGATGGCTCAGTGGAATAAGTGCTTCCCTGGCAAGCGCAAGGGCCTAAATTCAATCCCCGGTTCCGCCAAAAAAAAGAAAGGAAAGAAAGGAAAGAAAGGAAGGAAAGGAAGGAAAGGAAGGAAAGGAAAGAAAGGAAAGAAAGGAAAGAAAGGAAAGAAAGGAAAGAAAGGAAAGAAAGGAAAGAAAGGAAAGAAAGGAAAGGAAAGGAAAGGAAGGGAAAGGAAGGGAAAGGAAGAAAGAAAGAAAGAAAGAAAGAAAGAAAGAAAGAAAGAAAGAGAAACGTCCACATCTCGCCGAGGACCAAAAAGAGTCACCCGGGTTCTTTCGGTTCTATCTCTAGGTGCTGCGCCCAATTTCTTTGCCAATTAATTTTTCCGAGCTTCCTTCTGCTCAGGGGCAGGGCAGGGACCAACGCAAGTTGTCCAGACAAACCCGCAGATTCTGGCAGCACCCCCACCCCCCGACAGCGCCAGGGCGCACCCACAAAGTAAGCGCTTTCGCTCCGAGCCTGCCGCTTCCGCAAACCCGACGCGGGAGCGCCTTCTCCCTCCGGCCTGCGCGAGGCGGACCGGGAGGCTGGGGTGCCCTGCCCGGCCCGGCACGCCACCTGCTCCCCGCGCCCAGCCCGACCCCCGGGGCGCCGACCTGAGCTCGCCTGGGCCGCGGGGGAAGACGCGAGGCTCCCCAGAGCCCTGCGCCGCCGCCGCCGCCGCCCGCCGGTCCTGCCGGCCCGCTGCAAGAGGCTGCCCGCGCGGCGACCACCCGGGTGCCGCGGAGAGAGAAGACAGCCCACGAGGCCTCCTTCGTCCCGCCGGGCCGCAGTCCAGCTGCCCACGGCGCACCCAAAGCCGGAAGCAGCATCCCGCGGCTGAGAGAGGCAGAGGAGCGCTCTGCGGCAACAGCCAAGGGCGCACCGACCCGGCCGCGTGCGACCCGCGGACCCTCCGCGCTCACGCCCCGCCCCAAGAACCTCGCAGCGCCGCACCCCCGGCGCCTCTGCGTGCACAGAATCTGCGGCCGGCTTGCAACCTTCACCGCCACACAGGTTCCCAGCTGGAAGAGCTGTGGGCCCGCCACAAAGTGCCGGCTTGTGGGAGTCCGCAGATGCCTAGCCTGTGCCCCAGCTCCCCTGGTTAGGATTTAGCTCTTTGTCTACTTCGCTTTCTCTCTTGTTGGAGATGAATCCCAGGACCACACACAGGCTAGGCAAGTGAGTACTCACCCATTATCCTACCCTTTACGCTTGCCAGGGAAGCGCTTATTCCACTGAGCCATCTCCCCGGCTGCCCCGGCAGCCCCGGGTGCTTCAGTCTTAATAGTAGCTGGGGTTACAGGAGTCGTTTGTCCCTTTTGGTGACAGTGGTAGGATCTAAGAGCCCTGGGAGAACAACAGATCTTATTCTTGTGGGCATCATTTTGTAGGCCCTAAGAATTATGATTTTGGGGGGAGAAATGATTGTAGGCTAACGGCACAAACGAAATGTAATACGCTTTGGACAGAATGAATGGTAGTTCAACCATTGGCATGGTAGAGGAAAGGCATTTATTCACTTAAAACACATAAGAAGGTGATGAAAGCAAGTAATGCAAAGCTAGGGAGTTTGTCTAGATTTTCCGTTTTATCTTCTGCTCCACAAATGTCTCACCTCCCCATCAAACTCTTATTTCTCTTATTTTTTAAATTTATTTATTTGGTGCAGGGTCTCACTACACAGATAGGACTAGTAGTGATCCTCTTGTCTCAGCCTCCCCAGTGCTGAGATTACAGGTGTGTGCCACCACGCCCGGTTTTGGGTGGTCCACAAGGCGTGCCCAGGGTTCCAGGATCGAACCCTGGTCCTTGGGCTTGCCAGGCATGCGCTTAGACTGTCGAGCTACCTCCCCAGCCCCAAACTCTTATTTTGAGCTAACAAGGTGGGGGGGGGGGCAAACAAAAAAATGTCTTACTAATTCTGAAAAGCTAACCTGTGGCAGTATGTTCCATTCTTGTAATTCTAAAAAAGCAATACAGGGGCTGAGGAGATGGCTCAGTGGAATAAGCGCTTTCCTGGCGAGTGCAAGGGTATGAGTTCAACCCCTGGTTCTGAAAATAAATAAATAAATAAATAAAAATAAAAAAGCAATACAGTAGTTTTTAAAATCTGCCAATGCTGGCGAAATAGCTCAGCAGACTAAGTGCCTGCTTTGGCAAGTAAAGGGAGCAGGGTTCAATCCCCAGTCTTGCATACCGCCCGGCCCTTTCCCCAGGGTGCCCTGAGCCAGCAAACAAGTCCAGGCATGGTGGCGCGCGCCTGTAATCCCAGCACTCAGGTGGCTGAACCAAGAGGATCACTATGAGTCCGACCTGCGTAGTGAGACCCTGTACCAATTACATAAAACGAAAAATAAATAAATAAAAATTAAAATCCGCCAAATTCACTCAAAACCTTTCGGGCAAAAATCACTATATTGAACAAATTACATTTTCTTTATGTGGCTATTATTGCACAACAGTGCCTGGTTGAGTAGCCTGCAACAGGCTTGGCTTTAGCATCCTGTTCATGCCGGTCTACGAAAGCAGTAGAGGGTGAACTGAATTTAGCTGTTTCAGCCTTTCTGGAAGGGTGCCTGAGTAACCGCAAAAAGCAAGTAAAAAGGGAAGAAGGGGTGAGGAAATGGGGTGTGGCCAAGCGAAGTGGGTTCTGAGGAACAGGGTCTCAGAATGAGTCCGGGCGCCTTGACTTTCCGTAAACTCATTGTCTAGCCGAATCTGCCAAACTCTGGAGACCTGGGGACAGCTTTCCGGCTGGGAGTGGGGCGTGGCTAGTCTTCAGTAAACATGGAAGGTTGGAGGGGCGGGGGTGAAAAAAGAGGAAATGAAGCCGGCTGATTGGCGTGAGCCCTTGAGATGCTTGTCAAATCGCACTGCAACCTTTCAAGAAAGGCAAAAGCGACTTCATTAAAGGCACGACCTTGTAGGACTGCCACGTCTCGATCTTTCCTTTGTAGTCTTCCCACCTCCAAAAGGGGAGGACGTATCCCCAAACAAGAGGCAGGGACAAACTTATAAAACCACCAAAACCCCAACACGTACTACAAATCCCAGCGTTCAGCGCCGTCTCGGGCCAAACACCAGGTGGACTCACCAGAAAAACTACAAAGCCCAGGATAGAACGCTGCCTCTGCCGAAATTGGATCAACTCCGAGCTGCATGCTGGGAGGCCACAACGCCTAGAATCTGATTGGCTAAAATTTACAGTGACGTCTCTAAGGCGGGACGGTTTTCTTCTCAAATAGGCAAGGCAGAGGGCGCTAAGCACTTCCTGCGGACGGAAGTTGGGGAGTGTGTGCGTGCGTTCCCGCCTCACCTGGTACGGGTCCTCCGCGCGGCGCAGAAAGCGGCTGTGACCCAGCGGAAGCAATTCCTTGGACTGCCCCGGAACCCACAGGGGTAGGCGGCTGGGGGTAGGGGGGCCGCCCTGGAGTAGGGGCTGCGGCGGTCGGGGCAGACTTGGCTGCGGTCGCCGTGGTGCGGACGAGTGAGTCTGGGGCCGGGGCCGGACTGAGCCCGGGTGCGCGTGGAGGACGAGGGAGACCAGGACCCGAGGAGTTTGCAGTCTCTCGTCTCACCCCTTCCTATCTGGGCGGGAAGGAACGGAAGCTATGAACCTCCCTGGCCTCCGTGGGTCCCGGTTTGGGGGAGGGGAGGGCAGGGCAGGGCTAGGCGACAGGACCTGTACCGGCGCCCCTCGGTGCGCTTGGAAGGCGGTGGAAGGCGGGGAGCCTCGGGCGAGAACGCCGTTGCTGCGCCGAACGCGGGGAGGGTGGAGTTAGGAGCATGGCAGCCCTGCCTCTTTTCATTTTTGCTTTTCTCCTGCATGCCCTTCATCCTTTTCATGAGGCGGATTTCTAGTCTCAGGAGAGGACCTGCAGTCCTGCCCGTTACGGCAGGACTTAAAAAGTTTATATTCTGCCCAGCTAGTTGGCTGTCTGACTCGGTACATTGAGGCTTTCGTGCGTCTGCCTCCGGTCGCGTCCGAGAGGAGGCATGGACTATCAAGTGCAGTGAGTGCCCACTGAGTTTCTCTTAGGGAACTGAAATCTCTGTAGCAGCGTATATATTACGGTGAACTGTGTCATTCCTTCTGAACATTTGTGCTGTACATCTTTCAGATAGGAAAAAACTGAAATCTTTAGTTTTAAAAAATCTCGTTTTCAGGCTGACTTCTAACTCACTTTGTAACCCAGGTTGGATAGGAGCTTTTTGGGTATTTTGTGACTCTAGGGTCTGTCTGGCCTTGAATTCTGCTATGTTGCCTAGGCTGGCCTCTAGCTTCGCGGTCCTCTTGCCTAGCTCTCTCCAGAGTGTTGGGATTACAGGCATGTGCCTCCCCATCCGGCAAGATAAGAACTCCTTTATCTTTATTCTTCTGCCTCAGGCTGCCAGAGCGCTGGGATTACAGACACAGCAACGCCTCCGATTTACTTTTTGATCCTCAAATAGTTAATTCCTTTTCTGTTTAGTGGCCTAAAACGATAAATATCTGATCTTGTTTACATTTAAATTGATGTTGGACAACCCAGTTCACTCTTTGTAAGAAAACAACGGTAGTTACTCCTTTGGATGGTTTTTGTTAGTGATTATTTGGAATTCCAATTCGTTTTTTCTTACTGTGCGGGATGTAACACGGAGCCTCAAACATACTAGGCTAAGGGTTCAGCCACTTAACTACGTTTTCCAGTTCCCTGTTACATTTTAAGTGACCAGTTTCTAAATGTGAGTTTTACCTGAGGACCATCATTTAAAGAATAAATAAATTAAAAATATATATATATATATATTTAAAGTGGAGAGAACCAGTTAAATTGATAGTAATTCTATAATATACTTTTTTTTTTTTTTTTTTTTGGTGGAACCAGGGATTGAACTCAGGCCCTTGCACTTGCCAGGGAAGCACTTATTCCTCTGAGCCATCTCCCCAGCCCCTATAATATACTTTGATGATACAGTTTCACAAGTTAAGTCCTGTATACATATAGATTTCTAAAGAAATACTTCCATGCTTTGGGGACACGTCTTTTGGTTTTTTATTTTGTATTTTAGGATGTTCTGCAGGGTCTCACTGGTTAGATCGACTCTTAATGATCATACTGTTTGCAGCCTCCCAGTTGCTGGGATTACAGGCGTGCCCTACCACGCCCAGTTCCCAGTCTCATTCACCTCAGTGCGCACCCCCAGGGCCAGACCAGCAGGCCCTGCGCCTGCTTGCTTTAATCAGCTGAGCTATTTACCAGGTCCTCAGATTTTTTTCATTGTTGGATAATAGGAAAATTTTAAAATTTATATTGTGTGTTTTTTCCTTAAGTGCTTTGTTACACTAGATCAGTCTGCAGGGCATGGTGGCACACACCTGTAATCCCAAACATCCATCCGCCTGTAATCCTAACACTCCCAGAGACTGAGGCATGAAGAGTGTTGCAAGTTTGAGACTAGCCTGAACTAGTGAGATCAAGGCCAACATGAGCTGCATGGCAAGATCCTGACTCAGTAAGACCCCTCCATAAAAATCTTTCATTTTTTTGCTGAGGACCAAACCCAGGATCTTGAGCATGCTAGACAGGTGCTATGCAACAGAGCTGTACCCTCAGTCATGAAATTCTAAACTTAAGTGATTTAAGAAAATGATGTGTTAAAGAAATATTAAGCATTTATTCTGTGGGCACTTTCCTCAGTCTATTGTATTTGAACTTGAGGAAAGTTACATATGTATAAATGTAGTAAGAATTTTTCATACAATAGTAGCTGTGAAAGTCTTGAGATGAATTTTACTTAAGAAATGCTGGGGGCCTGGCCCTAGCTCAGTTCTTTAAGTGGCTGCTTCCACAAAGCTGTCAGCCTCAGGGTGCTGTAGTTCGATCCCCACAGCACTCCAGCCAGCCAAACCACCCCTGAGGGCATTCGGAAGCAAAAAAAAAATCCTTATTTCATTTTGGGGCTGGTGAGATGGCTCAGTGGTCTAAAGCACCTACTTAGAACAAGCTTAGCAAAGCACAGGGACCGCGGTTCAATCCCCCAGCACCACATGCCAGCCTGCCCCGCCCCCTGGTGGGCTGAGCTGGCCACACACACACACACACACACACACACACATTTAAAAAAAAAACTAATTAAAAAAAAGAAATGCTAAGTACAGTTAGCCTTAGCATTTAATAAGTAGAGTGGTGGGAGATGACAACAGAGTGGCTGACAGTTCCTATCTGTAATAGGAAGCCATTAAAGGGTTTTGTGCAGAGAAGTGATACCTGTTTGGATAATAGGAAAATTTTTAAATTTATGTTCTCTATTTTCCTCCTAGCTGTTTATCCTCATAGATTGTTTATTTAAATTTTATTTATTTATGTGTGTGTGTGTGTGTGTGTGTGTGTGGCCAGCTCAGCCCACCAGGGGGCAGGGTGGGGTGGGGCGGGGCTGGCTGGCTGGGTGGCATGTGGTGCTGGGGGATTGAACCGTGGTCCCTGTGCTTTGCTAAGCTTGTTCTAAGTAGGTGCTTTAGCCACTGAGCCATCTCACCAGTCCCTATCCTCATAGATTGTTGGATGAGGCTAAACAGCTAGGAAGAAAGCAGAGAAACTGACTTTAAGTGTATACAGGGTGTACAGGGTCTCACTGCGTAGGTTGTAGGTTGGACTCCTAGTGATTATCCTGTTTTCAGCCTCCTAAGCACTGGGATTACAAAATCACTGGCCACCACCAGGCCATCTTAATCGCCACTTAGCACGTCCTGGATCGGGGCCAGCACAGCCTGTGCTGGAGTCCCTGTGCTCTGCCTAAGCAGGCACTTTAGTCTGATGCGCTATCTGGCCAGCCCAAGAAGTCCTATCCCTGGTACCATGTGCTGTGCTGGCGACCAAAACCGGGTGTAGTGGCATACGCCTGTAATCCCAGCACTAAGGGAGTCTGAGACAAGAAGATCACTAGGAGTCATAGCTGCGTAGGGAGACCCTATAACAAATTTAAAAAAAAAGTGCTGTGATTTGGAATTTTTAAGCTGGAACTAAATGGTCCAGCTTTCATTCCAGGGACAAAAGAATGAGTAATCAACTGTTTTGCCTTAACATCTTAATAGTCTATTCACTGAGGAGCCAGGAAGATAGCTCAGTGGAATAAGTGCGATCCTGAGTTCGATCCCTGGTACCACCAAAAAAAAAAAAAAAAGTCCATTCAATGAAATAGGGAATACTAGGAGAGAAGACTGATCTCAGAGATCATCAAGAGTTTTATATGGGACTTAACTAAGTTGGATAACTAATGATAGCTGAGAATACTTGTAGAAGGCAACTTGCATGTCAACCACTGGGACTCAGGAAAAGCCAGAATAGGAAATAATCTGGGGATCTTATCGCTATGGGCTGGAGGACATCCTGTAGAGAATAACCATGTAACCAAGGTAGGGAAGCAGTTGAAGTTTGGTAGGATCACGTGTACTGCAGTGGATTAAGTAGATTATAGCTGGGAGGTATCTTTTAGAGTGCATACCTCAGGCCCTGGCTTCAGTCCCCAGCACCAGAGGAAAGGAGGCAGATGGATGATAGTTGGAAATGGCAAGGATGGGAATTACTACGAAGCAAGCCTTTGAGGAGGGGATCAGACTCAGTTTAAGGGGAAGGGTGGCCTTGGATCTGAAGGATGATTTCTAATCAAGACAAAAAGATAGGGCAGCATATATGGTTTATAGAAATAGGTAATTAAGATACAAAAGACTGGCAATAGAAGTGATTTATTTTTAGTTGATTTCTAAAGGTTCTGTTAGGTGGGCATGGTGGAACACACCTGTAATCTCAGCACTCAAGAGGCTGAGGCAGGGTCAGGAGGATCCTTGTGAGTTGAAGACCAGCCTGAGCTTCATAACAAGACCTTGTCTCAAAAAGAAAAAATAGTAAAAGTAAAGGTTCTTTTAATTCTTTCATAATACATAAAGTTTGTAATTAGATATGAGAATATCTGCTAATTCTTTACTTTTGGAGGAGTTGTGATTTGTTTTTTGTTTGCTTTTTTTTTTGGTTTCTGTTTTATGAGACAGGGTCTTACCAATACAGTTCAGGCTGGCCTTGATCTCACTTTGCAACCCAGGCTGGTCTCACAAGGATCCTTCTCCCTCAGCCTCCTGGGTGCTGGGATCACAGGCATGCCTCATCACACCCAGCATGTTTGCTTGTTATTGATACAGGATCTCTCTGTAATTCAGGTTGGCCTTGAATTCAGTATATATCCTAAACTGACCTCAGTCTTCCTCAGCCTGTAGAGTGCTGGGCTAGCACACCTGTTTACTTTTATAATTTGAAACAAAGGAGTGCTATCCCTGAGTTCAATCCCTGGTTCCGCTGAAAGGAAGGAATTTATAGATACTATGGAATTTGAGAAGGAAATTTAAGTAGTTTACAGGGCTGACG